CCTTTGTATTTATCCCTCTGATATATTTAAAGATAGCAATCATATCCCCCCTCAGCCTTCGTTTTGTCAGACTAAACAACCCGAGCTCCTCTAGTCTCCTTTCATACGACAGGTTTTCCATTCCTCTGATCATCCTAGTCGCCCTTCTCTGCACCCGTTCCAGTTTGAGTTCATCTTTTTTAAACATGGGAGACCAGAACTGCACACAGTACTCCAAATGAGTGTCTGGACTGATTTCAAGGCAGTAACAGACCTTTGAGGGTCACCAATTTGTTGTAGGTTTAGCATTTTAAAATAAGTAGAATGCCATGATTGTTTTCTTTTGCATTGCAATTTGATGTTCCTGTTCAAAATGTTCTGTGTAAATTAATTCTGTTCTGTGTGTGAATGAGGAATGTATGTGTTAAGAGGAAAGTGTGAAGGCCATCGCTGAACCAGATGTATGAGGGAGGAACTGGAGACAGACGCAAGGGCGCCAGGAGGCTGCAACATGCCCCTATTGAAATGTCAGAGGAGGGCTGATTGATGACTCTAAAGATGAGACAGGCACCTATCAATGGGGACAAGGTAGCTGTGATGAAAACCAACATGGGATAACTCCCTGAGGAACTTGATGAAAGAACAAGATAAAGGATGAGAAGGACAATTTAAGGAAACAAGCACTCGTCAAACAGCAATTGATTACAGCATGACGGTGCAAAACTCATTGGTCCCAATGAAGGAAAATCGCTATATAAACAGGGTGCCTTGCCAGGAAACTTTGGGTTCATCCTACCAAGACTTCCCCAGAGCAATGTGTCATGACCAATGGAACTCGGCTTGTCCTACCCATGATCAACCTAGCTGGCCACTAGGTTGACTCTGGACTGGTAACTATAACATTGACTGGTTTGATAGTGTGTGTGTGTGTGGTGTGTGATTGAATGCATATGCTAATTGTTGTATCTTCAGTAAATGTGACGTATTGCCTTTTCCCCTGAAAAAGATCCCGTGTGCTTCTTATGAGCATAACAGGGTAACACCCCCAAGGTAGCTAGCTAGCACATCTTGGAGGGACTGTTCAAATGAAGTGGTTCATCAAGACACATTTGGTTTACAATGGACCATGGGAGAACCCCATCTACACTGAGTGGACTGTCATGTAAATGTGCTGTCTGGAATCTAGGTAATGGCTTCCTGCAATGACTGAGGGAAATTGGGCATGAACATGTGACTTGCCCATGTGACTCCAAACTCCATCTTGTTGCTGTAATTTTCCACAGTAAGAACAATGGGATGCTCTTCACATGGCAAAAGCTATAAAAGGCCCTGGAAACACCTCCATTTTGTCTTCAATCCTGCTTCTTACCTCTGGAGGAACTTTGCTACAGACTGAAGCTCTGAACAAAGGGCTGAATGACCCATCCAAGCTGTAGATGTACTCCAGAGACTTGACTTAAGCCAACATTTTATTCCATCACTGCTACAAGTCTGAACCAAGAACTTTGCCATTAATGTATGTAATTGATTCCCTTAGCCGATTTTAACTCTCACCTTTTTTTCTTTTTATGAATAAACCTTTAAATATTAGATACTAAAGGATTGGCACCAGCATGATTTTTGGGTAAAATTTAAGTTGTATATTGACCTGGGAGTGGCTGGCCCTTTGGGATCAGAAGAAACGATCATTTAATGACACTGGTTGAAAACTACTCATCTCTGAATCCGGTGTTTTTGATGGTGTTATAAGAACCGGAATGCCTGAGAAAACTGCCTTTATGTTTTCTTGTTAACCAGTGTGGTGAAACAGGAGTTTACTTTTGTGGCTGGTTTGGTCCATCTTATAAAAGAATAGGAGTACTTGTGGCACCTTAGAGACTAACAAATTTATTTGAGCATAAGCTTTCGTGGGCTACAGCCCACTTTATCAGAGGCATGCTTATGCTCAAATAAATTTGTTAGTCTCTAAGGTGCCACAAGTACTCCTGTTCTTTTTGTGGATACAGACTAACACGGCTGCTACTCAGAAGCTTATAAAAGAATAGGAGTACTTGTGGCACCTTAGAGACTAACAAATTTATTTGAGCATAAGCTTTCGTGGGCTACAGCCCACTTTATCAGAGGCATGCT